TCGGCCCACTTTCAGAGATGGCTAAGGAAGAGACATTTGCTCTCCATGTTCTTGGCAGGGTGAATGGGAAGGTGCAGGGACCCGAGTTACAGCAGTTTCTTTTTCTTCAGGAGCTTTTTCTGAATCTTGGATCTCAGGCACAAGCCCAGAGGCATGAGAGAGCTTGCCATATTGGACTCAGACGGAGAGTGTAGGGCAGTGGAGGTGGGTAGGCTGCTCCGTGGGGTCCTGGAGTCATGTGTGGCAGGCCTCTGTGGGTGCAGCAGGCCGAGCAGCACAGGCAGGCATGGGGTGAGTGGCTCTGGTCTGAAGAGTCTCCTCCCTCCAGCGGGTGGGTATGGCTGCTGGGGCCCAGCGGTTTGCAGGAAGCCATAGAGGCAACTGGCGGTGGGTGTGCCTGGGCAGCTGGGGCCTCATTCCTGTGCCCCAGGGGCACTCGAGGCCATCATGCGTGGGCTTACCTGGGCCACTGCATGGCTGGGCCTCAGAACCCTGGGAGTGTGGCTAGGGCTGCCACGGACCCACTCCTGGCTGACTCTGCTGAGGTGAAGCAGGGACGTTGACACCGTTCTTGTGCCTTCGGGGACCTGATCCTGGGAGTGTGCATATGGGGCACCCACCTGGCACCAGGGCCATGCTCCAGCGAGGGCAGCCAGTGTTGTGATTCCTTCCCAGAGGAAGGCATGCTTCTCATTGCATAGCAGAGCCCAGGCCACCGTCCCAGTGACCATGTTTCCGGCTGCACTGCTAGGACCTGGGTGCAGCCCTGGGAAGGGCATCCAGTCCCTGCATCCGTTCACTCTCCTCGCCTTCCCGTCCTTCTTGGGCACTGCCTGCCTGGCATCAACTCTTTTTTTTTTTTTTTTTGAGATGAAGTCTCACTCTGTTGCCCACGCTGCAGTGCAACGGTGCAATCTTGGCTCACTACAACCTCCGCCTTCCGGGTTCAAGCAATTCTCCTACCTCAGCCTCCGGAGTAGCTGGGATTACAGGCACCTGCCACCATGTCTGGCTAATTTTTGTATTTTTAGTAGAGATTGGGTTTCCCCATGTTGGCCAGGCTGGTCTCAAACTCCTGACCTCAGGTGAGCCACCCACCTTGGCCTCCCAAAATGCTGGGATTACAGGTGTGAGCCACAGTGCCTGGCTCTGGCATCAACTCTGGAGACCAATCCTTGGCTGCCCAAGGAGGCCTCACTCCCACTTCATTTGGGTAAACCACTGTTGGTCTCATCTTTAACACACAGACGATACGCGTTCATGACAGGAAAATTAGAAATACACAGAAGAGCAAAATATTTTGCTGTTTATCTTTTCAGATGTTTTACCCTGTGCATTTTTATGTAAATACGTTTTTACTTAGGTGACACCATCATACACATACTGCTTTACAGGCTGCTATTCACTCAGTGATGTATAGAAACTGTACACAGTACAGGTTTACAAAGCATGTGAAATACTACATGTCTCAGTATGATTTGTAATAGGGGCATAGTATTTGCTTGAATGGATACACTGCAATATGTTTAAATATGATTGTTGGGCATTTAAATGATTGCCACATTTTCACTGCGACACTCCACACTGTCACAACGCTGTATTCATGCAATTTCTTCCTCAGGCTAGCTGGCTGCAAGGGGAGCTCCTGGACCAGTGGGCCTGCCCTTAAGCCTTTTGATATGTACAGAGACTCGTCCTGTCAAAAGATTCCTGGTTTTCCTTCCCACAAGAGCCACCAGGAAGTCCCCTCTGGAGGGGTCCACCTTCCATTCTCCAAGGCTGCTTCCAAGTGTAGCAAGGGTCTTCGTGGCTATCACTGAGTGGAGGATCACTCTGTCCTGCTCTCCATGAAGGGCCGGACAACGGGAGGGGGCAGTGGGTCTGGGAGGAGACCTGGGTCCGAGGAGGGGTAGGTGGGTTCAGGCAGTCACTCCCAGTGGGGTGTGCTGGGCTGTCACAGGGTGCTGGGCCTGATCCTTGCTGAAGATGGGGGAGGAGCAGGGCTTGTCTGGGAAGACTTGGGTCTGCAGGTCTGTGCCTGGCTGTGGGAGTTAGGGGAAGGGAGTGCCCAGTAGGAGCAGGACTGGCCTGGATGTGTTGGGCCCTGAAGGAGAAGCAGGGCTTAGCTCGGCGGGAGTTGGGAGGGCATTTCAGGTGGGTGGGCCAGCATAAGCCAAGACGTAAGCCTTCCCTTGGCAGGGCTACCTTCCAGGGACTCCAAGGCACGTGGTCTGCTTGGAGCACAGTGTCGGTATTGCGAGGAAAGAAGCTGGCTCAGAGGACTGGGGATTTTGCTCCCAGTCTTAGAAACAACGGTGAACCATCAGGTGCTGAGTGAGAATTGAAGGCTGATGTGATCCAAGTGGAATTAGAGACCAATGAGTGTTGACTGGAGGAGGTGCAGATAAAGGCAGCAGGCCAGGGACCAGAGAGAAGGTCACAAAGGATTGTTGCCTAGACCTGGGCAAAGTGGAGGGATAAGCCAGCTCTCTAGCTGGGACATAGATTCTAACCCTATTTTCCCACCCCACCCCATCCCCATCCCACCACACCCCACCCCGCTCCCCCCCACCGCCCCCTAGCCCAACCCCACCCCATCTTCCTCATCCCATCCCATCAGACCTCACTCCACCCCACCCAACCCCATGCCACCCCACCCCATCCCATCCCACTGCCTGACACTCATCACTTGAAAGCCTCCTTGTCTCAGAGAAGTGCCTGACACTTCATCGTTTGGAAAGACTCTACTTTGGCAGAGATTTTTCTGACCATTTCATATTTATTGTCTCGTCAAAAAAGAAAATTCACTTGTGAGACACAGCCAGGCATGAGGGAAAGGAGTCCATGCAGATACACAGCCCTGGTCTTTGTGTGGCAGTAAACCCCAAGTCTTCTCCCTGGAGTCTCAGCTATAAAGAAGGGACTGAAGGCAGCATGGTGCCCTCTGCAGGGGACTGATGGCGTTTCCACCCAGCCCTGCCCTCCTTTGCTATGGGCCCCTCTGCCTCTGTCATTACGCATAGGCAGAAGTGTCTGTCTTGACTTTGGAAGTGGCTTATTTGGTTCTGATTTATTGGGAAACTTCGAGGTAATGTAGCCATCAGTTTTGACAAGGGGAAACTGATGAGTCCCTGTATCTAGGACTGGGCCTGGGATGGAGTCCACTCCCAAAATTGGATGACTGTCACCTGCTTGCCACATTCATATGTGAAAGCCAGTGGCTGCAGTCCTTGAGGCCTTAGAAAGGAGCATATCTTTGAGGTGACCGGTGCAGTGTAGCAAGATTAGAAGGAACCTAAAGACTAAGGACTAGGAGATTCTCCTCCTGCAGGTAAAAAGCTGAGCTCAGAGGAAATGAGGAACTCTCCCAATGTCTGTAGCCAGTCAGTGGCACCCAGAGACTCTGCTCATGTGCCCTGCCTATGGGGCCACTCCACAGGTCGGTGGGATGGGGACAGTTGGGCCTGTGTGGCCCTAGGATCACCTGTGGAATGAGCGCCTCTCAAAAGAACTCTAACGTGGCAGCCTTGGTGCAGGGCTGGGCACGTGGGACTCCTGTTCACAGTGATGAGGTGCCATTCCTGGCACACAGCAGGCTTGGCCTGCCTGGGCTGCTCGTTCACTGCAGTTTATGGGAGAGCCAGCTCTTGCTGACGTGGCGAATTTGGTTAGCTCTCATCCCCCTGCCCTGTCCATTTGAGTGTGCCCCTGACCTCCACAGAAACGTGCCCAGGCCCTGCCAGCTGGCAGCAGTGCTGAGCTGGTCAGATCCTAGCCCTGGAGGGGCCCAGGAGACGGACAGCCCTGGAGAGAAAGGTTCTTCTACTTTGCAACTATGCCAGCACAGCCAGGGCCCTGCTTCCTGTCATGTCCACAAACCTGAGCCCACAGCCCTTCTCTCAAGGCCCAAGGGATTGGCTGTGGCCACTCAGGGCTCCCAGCAGCTCTGGGTCACTCCCAGCCTGAAGAGCCAGCTTCATCACTTTGGCCGTTCCTCTAGGGCAAAGGCCTTCAAGACCACCACAGCTTACCCCTCATGGGCACGGGAGGGCAGCACTGGGCTCAAGGGCAGAGGGGCAGCAGGCAGTGCGGCACCCTCTGGGCAGCATGAGCAGCATCAGGCTCAGGGGGCAAAGCAGGGCGAGAAGACGCAGAGGAAAAGGAAGCAGAGCGTGAGGCAGGTGTGACCCAGGGGTGAAAGGAAGCCCTTACCACATTGCCACACTCACCTGGTCCCTGAGGGCCACTAGGATTTGGCAGCATGGCTGTGGGCCTCCCCCACTGAAGGCGGAGCCAACCCCCGAAGCAAACAGGGCTGCACAGCCCAGACCATTCTAGTGCTGGCTGAGGTCCGCCCACCACCCCTCTCCTAGCTGATGACTTGACAACTACCACCAGTTGACTCCTGTTCAGGTGGTGCCGGTACTTAGAGGAACATCAGTGCATTCCATCCTCACAGCGGCCATAAAAGGTAGATTTTTTTAAAAAACTCATTTTGCAAATGGTGAAACTGAGGCAGCTCAGAGAGGTTAGCTGACCCACCCAAGGTCGGTTGGAAAACTCCTAAGGGGCGAGAATCAAGGTCCAACACCAAAGCAGCTGGTCCCGCAGCCTGTCCCTCCCTACAGGCCATCTGCTTGCCCTGAGTTCACCAGTGCCAGCTTCCTGCCCCACACTCCCCAGTCTGAGCCAGGCTGTTAGCACTGTAGGAGCTCATGTTCTCCTGTTATCAGAGATCGTTTTGAACAGACAGTCCCTGGCAATCCCTGAGCTCCACATTCTTTAGGTGAGCAGCCTTGGGCAGGCAGATGGGTGCGCTGCTGGGCAGCAGGTACAGTATTGCTCGCCCCTGGCTTCTGTCCACACTTAGTGGACAACTCTTGCCAGCCCCGATGTCCAGAGGGCAGTATGGATGATCTGAATGCACCAGGACCCTCATGCTCACCTGCAAGACACTTGAAATGCATGAAGGGACAGCATTTGCTTGCCTCTGTCCGCAGCAGCCCTGCTGAATAACTGAGGAGACCTACGGAGCAATCACCATGAGTATCTCAGCTCTCGGAGGCAGCACCAAAGGTGAGGCTGGACTCCCTGTTGTCCTGGGCTCTGCTTGGGGCTGTTTTCTTCCAAGCCTGCCCCTACAGGCCACAAGCACTGTCCCAGCAGCAAAGGGAGAGCAGCATACTGGGAGGACTAGAAAGGAGGTGGAGGGTCCTGGGGCTGGGCTCCTCTTCTGAGGCGGTTGACTTTGCCCACTGCAGGGAAGCCTCTGCCACCTGGTGAGGAGGAGCGCAATAATGTCCTCAAGCAGATGAAGGTGCGGACCACGCTGAAGGGGGACAAGAGCTGGATCACCAAGCAGGACGAATCGGAGGGCCGCACCATGTAAGGCAAGGAGGCCAGGAGGGAGCACAGCAACATGGGGGCATGCTGTGCAGGGGCCCCGACCCTCCCTGGGGATGCGGAGGGGCTTCCACCATTCAGAGCTCTGCTGGGCTCTGTAGAGGGCAGAGCATGGGAAAGCCTATCCAGGAATGTCACAGATGTCACAGGGTGGGAGAGCCCCTGGGTGCTGGGGAAGGAAAATGTGAGGCAGAAATGGCAGGACTTGCCGGGCAGCCTCGAGAATGGAAGCCACAGAATGGCAGGCAGCAGGGAGGCTGCAAGCGTCTTTCAGGACACCTCTTTCCCCCAGAGAGCTGCCCTCAGGCCGGAGTCGCACCACTTCCTTCTCATCCTCTGGGGAGGTTCCGAAGTCCAGGTAAGAGTTGCTGCCCAGGTGGCTGGTCGGTCAGCCCCAGGGACTCTCCTGCAGCTTGGGGCCGGACCTCAACTGGGAGGGGCGGGCAGTTCGCAGGGGACAGGGATGCAGCGCCAGCCAAGAGAGAGCATGAAGGGTCTGCAGTGAGTCATTTGAAATCCGCAGGAAGGAGGGGCTTTTCCACTGCACTTTCCTTTTGGGAAGGGGAGTGTACAAGTCACTCGGTCCAGGCCCTTAGCCTCGCTGTGTGGCTGTGGGGCAGCCAACTCCCCTGCTGCACCTCCATGGCTCCCGCTGTCAACTAGGATTGCAATTGTCTTTAAGAAGAAGATTATTATTTTGACCTCCCAGCCATCTCTGCAGGGAGTGAGACTGTGTCACAGTGACTCACTCCTGCAGGTTGTACTTGGGACGAGTTTGCTCTGTCTCCCAAGTTGACCGTGACATATTTTGGCAGTCCACCAAGGAGAACTGGCTTCTCTCTTTTGGGTACTTTTCCATAACAGTGTCCAGGGGAACTCTGAAGCGTGGGCACACCCTGCTGGCATCTGGAGGAACTGCTCCTCACAGAAAGGGAACTGAAATTCAGGCTCACTCCTTGCTCCAAACAGCCGGCAGGTGGCTTTTCAGGAGTGGTAGAGGCAGTGGCATCTGGAAGGGAGTGTCTCAAGCTTACAGCCGGCCCTCGGGGCTGCCCTTAGTAACTACGTCTCTCTGTCACCCCTCAATGACTCCTTGCCCACTACCTGCCAGGTCCCCTGCTGGGCACAGAGGATGCAGTAGTGGTCAAGACAAAGGCCATGTCTTCAGGAAACTGACATCCCAGCAGGGGTCTCAGGGAGGACCCCACTAAACAGCCCAATATGAAAGAGAGAACCCCCAAGTGTGGCTGCAACATGGCTACCTCTGGGAGGCTGTCCCCTGTTAGGGAAGGAGACTGTGGGGTTGGAGAATGCTGGGGCTCTGCGTTACCCCTGACCCAAATCCCGATGTTCCAGCCCAAATCTCCCCGACTGCTGGACAGAAGGGTCTACCCTGACCCTGTGGCTCCTCCCCAAACCCTGAGGAGGACTCTGCAGGGACCCTTCACTCCTGAGCCCAGAACTTCCAGGCCAGCCACCCCGTCTGTTAGCTCCCAGCCTGCTTGCCTTGGCTGCACCCCCATCCCACTCCCAGTCCCTGGAGTTCTCTGAGCCCCCTCAGTTGCTGCCCCGCAGGAGGTCCCCAGCACCCAGAGCCTAACGTTTCCCAGCCACTGAGTAAGCCCTGGCCATGCCCTTTCGTATCAAACTTCCACCAAGACTTGGGATGTGGACATGGTAGGAGGCGGAGCACAGAGGGCCTGAGGGACAGGAAAGGGGACAACTGACTTTGGCTGGCAGCTGCCTGACCTCTTCCCCTCAAGCCCTCATGCACCTTCCTGGTAGAGGCTGTTGGCGGGGAGATGAGGGCAGGCCCCGGGTTGAGGGGAAGCCTCGGGCTCTGACCTGGGAGCCTGGAGCCTGCACTGGCTCTGCCCAGAGGGTGGGAACGCTCCCTCGGCGCAGCACTGGGGCCCGGCCGGCCAAGGAGAAGCTGGACTTTGGAGAGGCTGTCGAACTGCCTTCCTTGGCACCTGCCATGAGGAGTCACCCTGGGCACTTTTCCTGGGGGAGCAGATCGGGCACCTGGCTAGGGGCACAGAGAGTTGGCACTGGGACAGCTGGAACACTTGTCAGCCAACCTTATTTGCTATAGATAAGGGCAGGATAAATAAAGTAGACTGAGCTGAGCCCTCCAGCAAGCCTCGCTTCACTCCACCCCTCCTTCCCTTCTGCAGGCCTCCGAGCACCAGGGCTCCCACTGGCTACATCATCCGGTAAGTGACCACAGGACTCTGCCAGCCTTCCTGTGTCCCCTCGCACCACCCCCTGACTTCTTACCCTCCAGCCTCTCCAGGGAGCTCAGCAACATCTCCTGTGCTCTCTTTTAGGGGAGTGTTCACCAAGCCTATAGACAGCTCTTCCCAGCCCCAGCAGCAGTTCCCCAAGGCCAATGGGACTACGAAAAGGTGCATCCAGGGGGTGTTGGCTACTCGGCCAGTGGGGAGGTGTGAGGGCCTGGCCTGGACTCGTGGCAGAGAGAGCGCTCTGCCTGTCAGGGGTGTGGGGCCTTGGAGGTGCCAGCTCTCATCTTCTGTAGGGCAGGATGCTGGAGAGCAGGGCAGGGAGGACAGAGGAGATGAGTTGCGGTGGGTCTCTGGGAGGTCCTGGGCCACTCACAGTGTCCTGGTCCTGGGGTCAGTCCTGACTAGGTCTGGCTACTGGGATAGAGAGGTGCAGGAGTTTGGGAGGGGCTGGGTGTAGAGTCTCCATGGCCTGGCAGTGGGCACCCTTGATTTGGCTTGCTGATGGCATTGAGAAGGCAGATGTGGCATGCCATTTGAGCACCTTGGCATCAGGTGTCACCTGGGGCTCCATCAAGCTGGAAAGTCCAAGGGGACCAGGAGACAGGAAGCAAAGACACAGGCAGCAACCCACTGGGCTGTTCCCTGAAGCTCGCTGGGGTTTGTCTGTGGCAGCCGGGGCTGCCCTGCTCTGAGTGGCGCAGTTCTGGGTGTCTGCCAGGGCCAAAAGCAAAGAGAAAAGGCCCTCAGGCAGCTCCTGGTCCACGTGTCACATGTCCACTGGGCTGTGTGGCCAAATCTGGAGGCAAGAGGGGGCCTGCAGGTCAACACATGGAACCTTCTGCTCTCTAGTGCTGCCAGTCCGGTGAGAACAGCTAACACGGGTCCTCCCCACCCTTCCTCCTCTGGCTACAAGATGACCACTGAGGATTACAAGAAGCTGTGAGTATGCAATGCCAGGCTCAGCGTGGTTCCCTCCTGCAAGGAACCAGTCCAAACTCTAGGTCCGCTGAAGGCGGCTGGCTTCCCTGCCTCCGAGTGCAGCCCAGGAGGTCCCACCTGCCTGACACTCCCTGCCAGTTGCAGCTGTGGCCTGGAGCCCACCAGAGGGTAACAAGCCCCAAAAAACTGGATGGCCATTCACATTGCACTTCTGATCTGAGGCAGGGCAGTGACTGCAGGAAGCTTGTAGGAGGGTCCCCACGCATCTGGGGAAAGGGTCATGGGTCATGGGGCTGCTGCTGCCCGGCCGTGCTTCCTGGCCATGGCCCTGCCCTCCGCCGAGCGTCAGATGCTCTGCCTGGCTGGGCTGGGGGCCTGGGGATCCTCAGGATGCTGTTGCCGCCTGAGCATCATGTGCCTAAATTTGAGCTGCCTCTTGGATAGAAACCTTTGGGGTTCCCCTTAGTGCTCCCCTTGGGGTCCCTTTCAAAGCACACCACCCCCATTGCATGCTCAGAGAGGGGAGTCTCTGGACAGACATGGAAATGGTGCCACCAGTTCCCAGGGGACCACATCTTGATGTTGTTTGTCCCTTGCTTCCATCATCCAGGGATGGGGAGCAGCTGGGAAACCTTTCTGGGGAAGCAGGGGAGGCTCGAACAGGGAAGGAGGGGAGAGCTGGCTCTCAAGAGGAACAAGTGGCATGAGCTAAGGTCCAAAGATACCGACTTGCCGCATCACTGTTGTTGAAAACTGGGGAGCCCAGATGCTGAGGGCAACAGCCTATGACAGGAAGGGACCTCTCCCCTCTCTTAGGGCACCCTACAATGTCAGGTGCAGCTCTACATCAGGGGACACCGAGGAGGAGGAGGAGATGCCTTTCTTGTCAGATGAACAGAAACGGAGGTAATGGAATGGTGCCTTTTGGGCATCTGGGGGCAGGGCAGGAGCCTGAGTCTTTGAAGACTGCTGGAATGAACTATACTGCTTGGGGCGACAAAATGCACAACACGTCGGTCATCCGCGGTAGCACACGGGGCATGAGAACAGGTGTCATTCTCTGAGTACCAGAGCCACCCACTCAGTGTTGGGCCAGCTGAGGGGCCCTTGAGAGCCTTCTGTGGTGTGGACCCTAGGTAATGCGGGTCCAGGGAAAAGCCTCAGTTTGTTAGAAAGGGCCCTGAGACAGTTGGACAAAAACATCCAGGGAGAAACTGCCTGCACAGCACCCTCTACCTGCATGATCTGCATGCCTTAGGGGAAGGGGTTGACGCCACAGTTCTGAATGCCCCTGGATCCCAAACTTAGGTCTAGGCATGGACAGCAGTGGGAGCGGGCCCCATGCTGCTGACATTCTACCCCAGTCTCTATGCCAAACTGGCCTCATCCACACAGGCCAGCAAAGCTCCATGGACCCGAATGGATGAAAGGCTCATCTGTCAGCCCTTGCCCCTCCTCAGCCCTCTGTCCATGGGTACTGACCTCACACCCCTCAGTGCTGGTGAACTGTGACGGGAAGGCTTTGCCGAGCACCTTTTGTTTGCCTTCGGCTTGGGGCCTGGACAGAGTTGGGCCCTGAGGAAATAGCGCCCTCCCTCCCTGGGCTCAGCCTGCCCCCAGTTCCAGATCTGCTGACCCATCTTGTGGCTCAGGAAGCACAGCAAAGCCCTATTGCCAAAGGCCCTGGCAGATTGGCAATGTTCAGGGGATAGTTCACAGTGGCAGCGCCCCCAGGCCTGGGTGGAGCAAGGAAAAGAGCCAGAAGCTAGGAGCCTCCTAGCATTGAATGCTAGGTGAGTGCTCTTGGACAAGTAATGAAAGCTTCTTGGCCTCAGTTGCCTCATCTGTAAATCACAGAGGATACTAGCGCCTACCTTCCTGGACTAAGAAGAGCAATAAGCCAATGTGAGGATGTTGGCATCAGGGGTAGGGCCGGGCACACGCCACACACTCAATAAACATGGGCTGCCCTTCCTTCAGTTTCTACATTTCCTTTGAGTGGTCCTTGGAGCAGGTACAAATCGGGCTTCTCTGAACCCTCGCCATCCCAACTCCATCCCAGGCTAGGCTGGCAGTGCATGTCCAGCTTGGCACCCATCAGATGCTCTCTCCCCACCGTGTCACCCCAGGTCACAGGCTGCGAGCAGTGTTGTGAGGAGGACAGCTCCCCAGGAGCACTCGTACGTGCTGTCAGCAGCCAAGAAGAGCATGGGGTGAGTTGCTGCCATCCGGCTCCGCACGCAAGGACAACTCTCCTCTCCTTAGGGTTCAGTCTTCTCTGCCTCATGAAAGGGTGGGTGGAGAGGTCACCCCCAAGGGCATTCCTAGCTGACCCTTCTCAGATTCTCAGATGCACTTTCTAGAAAATGGAGAGGTCTGGCAGCTACCGTCAGGCAAGGTGAGGTGACGGGAGTGGGAAAGGGCCCAGGACCCTCTGTGGTAGAGCAGTCGTGATGTCACCTGTCCACGGGCTGTGCCCAACACATTGCCTTTCTGCTTCCTTTCCAGTACTCCTACACAGGAGACACAGGCTCCGTTTATTGCAAAGAGGTAAGTGTCATCAAGGGACACCCTGGAAGCCTGTTACTGGCCACAGGAAGGCCTTCCGTCCGCAGGAGTGTAGGGTGGGAGCTGTGCAGAGGGGATGTGGGTGGGGACACTACTGTCCCTGAGCGAGGGGAGTTGTGAGTGGCTGGTGGCTTCTGTCTGGAGGCCAAGCAAGCACCTGCGTGGCTATGGTAGCACATGGCTAATGGGGCTGGACCCTTGACCCAAGATGAAGCATTTCCAAGGCCCTCTGGGAGTTGTTCCCCTGCCCCTGTTGCTTGCCTCTTGCCTTGCCTTCTGCTGTCATCCAGGATCAAAACCTGGGCCATCAGGAGAACTTCCCCTGGGACGTGACTATGACATTGGAGATGGGCCCTAAAGGGTGAACAAGGCTTACCAGGGAATGATCAGAAAGTCAGGACATTCCAGCTGAGTGAAGGAGGGGTGTCACCATTAGTTGAGACAGGCTGCCTTTTGGAGGAGGAAAATATTCGGGGGAAAGCAGGAAAGAGACTTCTGGAAGGTTGAACTTGAGGGACTTCCAGTTGAGTGGACAGGAAAGGCCTCTCTCCACACTGAGGTGGCTAGCTGGGGACTGAAAACCCAGGAGAAGCCAGCATATCCACTGCCCAGGGCAGAGGGCCCCACGGTGCACAGGCCCAGGGTCGGACTATCTGCTGCATTGGAAGACAAGGTTGGCAGGAATCCAGTGAGTAGAGCTGGTGGCAGCACAAAGGAAGTGACAGAGGATGGCGGGTGGGGGTCTTGCTGGCCCCATTTGGTTCCCGTGAATGGCTTCAAACACCACAAAGGGATTCTCTCCCAGTTCTGGAGACCAGAAGTCTAGATCAAGGTGTTAGCAGGGTGGGTTCCTTCTGGAGGTTCTGAGGGAGACACCATCCCAGGCCACTCTCCTGGCTTCTGGCGATGCTCGGCGATCCTTGGCGTTCCTCGGCTTGTACCTGCATCACTCCAGTCTGTGCCTCTGTCTTTACATGCCCTTCTTTTCTCTGTGTGTCGTGTCCAGATTTCCCTCTTCTTAGAAGGACAGCAGTCATTGGATTTAGGACCCTCCTACTCCAGTATGACCTCGTCTTACCTGATTACACCTGCAAAGACCCTTTTTCCAAATAAGGTTACAGTCACAGGTTCTTGGGGACATGAATTTTGGGGGGACACTATTCAACCCAGTATGCTGTCCTTATCTTGAGCTGGAGTTGCTGAGCCCCCTTCCTGGGCCGCCTCTTGGACCTGATCCTGAAGGGTTGGGCCAGTTAGACACCATTGAAAGCATGTCCTTCGAGGCCTGCAAGCTCCAGGGCAGCCAAGAAGACCACGAGCTCCATTTCTTTTCTTGCCCAAAGGGTGGAGGTGGTGGAAGAGGACAGGCCTTCAGAGAAGAGCCGCGGCCCACCTGCTCTGGCAAGATCTACCCCTAGCTCAAACAGGTAATCCATTGCACTCATCTCTGCCACTCAGTCACTGAGGAACCTCTGTCAGGGGACCTCCATGCTGGGCTTTGAGATCAGTGTCCCCGTGTGCCCAGTGACAAGATGGGACACAGAAGTCAGTGAGGGCCCATCTGGCTGAATGTCCCAGGACTGAAAGGGGCAAAACAGTCCAGCCTCCAGAAAGACAGAGTGTCTGGCTCTTGTCCATCGAGTATGTGTCTGTGTCACCTTAACCCTTGCACTAGTGAGTCAACGTTGGGGTTTGAGAGGGCCAGCCACCATGGCAGTAGCCTGCCACTATCGGACTTGCTCCTCACACTCCAGCACGCCCAGGGGGAGGCTGTGACATCTCCAGAGCCTCTCACAGCCACCTTCGCCAGTGCGGATGGAGGCAGGACCAAAGCATCTCGGGCAATTTGGATCGAGTGCCTGCCGAGCATGCCTAGCCCCACTGGGAGTCAGAGGCTCAGGTGGATGCCGAGAGCTGACTCTGCTTATGAGCAGGTGTGATGGCTTCCCGCCGGCCTGGCTGGCTGGTTCTGCCAGCTGGGGAGGGTCTGACAGTGGGGTGACAGAGCAAGGACAGGCTGAGCACAGGTGATCTCACTCCAGGACAGGCCATGATTTGTCCTGATTTCTGATCCCTGAGAATCTGTGCAGATAATGGTGCTCTCTTGTCTGTGGACAACTAATACTTTCTTGTACTTTGTGTGGAATGTGTTAACGCCTGCAGGGAGAGCCACCGCCCTGCTGTTGCTGCTGTTTAAAGTGTCTGCCTGGATTGAGACCTTTGCTCAAATCCTGGTCTCCTAAGAGCCACATCTCTGTAGCACCCTTGGAAGACCCCTGTAGCCGGAAGGCGAGAGTGCGTGTCCTAATATCATAGCAATCCCCCAATTTGAGCTCCACAGCGATTTATAGACAGGTGACCGCTGTTCTCAGGGTTACTTCCTCAGTGCCAGGAGGGAGACAGAAATGCTGGCAGCAGGAGCCAGGAGCACGAGGCCAGCTCCCTCCATGGGCCCGGGCAGCAGACTGCCGAGTGCTCCTCCTTTTCACTCTCTCCCTCTCTTGATCTTCTCTGCTTGCCTGACTCTCCCATAAGAACTTCCGTCCATAAGAAGCTTTGAAGATGTGGAAGGGGAGATTTCAGAACTGTCTCTTTTTTTTTTTGAGAAGGAGTCTCGCACTGTTGCCTGGGCTGGAGTGCAATGGCATGATCTCGGCTCTCTGCAACCTCCGCCTCCCGGGTTCATGAGATTCTCCTGCCTCAGCCTCCCAAGTAGCTGGGATCACAAGCACACACCACGACACCCAGCTAATTTTTTGTATTTTTAGTAGAGATGAGGTTTCACTATCTTGACCAGACTGGTCTCAAACTCCTGACCGCATGATCCGCTCACCTCATCCTCCCAAAATGCTAGGATTACAGGCATGAGCCACCGTGCCCAGACCCTAATCACTTCTTAGAAGGACATTGGTCCTATTGGAGTAGGGCACAGCCTAACAACTGTATTTTAACTGAATCACTTCTTTAAAGATTTCATCTCCAAATGCAGTAACATTCTGAGGTACCGGGGTTAAGACTTCAAAGTATGAATTTTGAGGGGCACAAGTCAGCCCATAGCAGTATACACTTCTCATTTCTCCTTATTTCTCTGCTGAAGAAAGGCAACAAATGGTTTCAGATGTCTTTTAAAAGATAATATAGGAGGTTGGGCATAGTGGCTCATACCTGTAATCCCAACAGTTTGGGAGGCCAAGGCAGGAGGATGGCTTGAAGTCAGGAGTTTGAGATCAGCTTAGGCAACATAGCAAGACCCCATCTCTACAAAAATAAAAATAAAAATTAGTTGGGAGCATTGATGCACACCTGTAGTCCCAGCTACTCAGAAGGCTGAGGCAGGAGGACCACCTGAACCCAGGAGCTGGAGGCTGCCGTGAGCTGTGACTGCACCGTTACCCTCCAGCCTGGGCGACAGAGCAAGACCCTGTCTCTAAAAAAAGAAACAAGAGAGACGATGGAGGATAATTAGATTGTTCTAATTATAGATTCTATTATAGATTTAAGAGGCACCCTGACATTTATTCCAAAAACTTCCTTTGGATGTTTAACACCCATCATATGGTTGTCACTGCAGGGTGGCTTTTTAAGGTTGTTCAGGCTGCCATAGCACATACAGGCTAGAGATTCAGGGTCCAGGGGAAGCTCCCAAAAGGAGGCTCAGCTTGACGCTTCTGATAGTTCTTCCCTCTGATTCTGGTCACTCAATATTTGGAGCCCACCAGGCAGCTTCCAGGAGGCTGGCTGATCCTGACCCTGGAGGGCCGTCTTCTCTGACCCTACCCCATTAGGTGCTGCACTGGGTCAGGCAGCCACCATCAGTCCTTGCAGGCCCAGCTCCCATCTGCCTGGCGTCTGAGGAGCCCAACCCGTGAGGAGCAATGACTCAACCAAACTCAGAGGCCTGCATCGCCTCAGAAAAGGCTGGTTTGTGGCACAGTGGAAGAGGAGAATGTCACAGCCCTATCCCCAGGCATAACCCCATCAAGGCGGCCTTCTCCCCACCCCTGGCCCTGCCCTGTCTCTCTCAGCTTCTCAGAACTCTTGCCCCCCTTGTGACCTGAGCGCACGCACTCTAGGGACCCTGTCTTGGAGAAACTGGTTCTGCGCGAGCTGTTTTATCCGCAGCACTGGTCAAGCTGGCCTCACCTGACCGGGGCAAGGCCTCCTGAGTCCTGGTCCTAGGCTGTGCCCAGAATGCTGCCTGGCAGTGGGTCTGGGGAGCAGGGAGTAGGAGCAGAGCTTCGGGCACAGGACAAAACCCTGGCTTTGCATCAGACCGACTGTGTAACCTTGAGCAAGTCTCTGTCTCTCCGTGCATCGGTTTCCCCGTGGGTAAAACAGGGAGAGCAGTAGTAGCTACTTCCCAAGGTTTTTCCAAATACTAAGTAAGATAATGCAGCTGAAGTACTTAGCACAGTGCCTGGGTGCTGGATCCTCAGGGGCTCCCAGTCAGTCCTGCTGAGCTACAGGGGCCCTTATTCAAACTCAGAAAGAGACCAATATCTCCACCTGCTAGCATCTGAGGGAAATGCATCCAAAAGCAGTGAAAATGAGGTTCCTCCCCTCCACCTGCCCCCACATCCCCAGCGTCCCTGCTGTTTGGCAAGATGAATCACAAGTCACACACCACTTGGCACAGGCCACAGTTACTTGCATTCCCACAGGTGGCTGTGATCGGTTTCAGGCCTCCGGCTTCAGCAGATGCCTCTGTTCCTTGAGTGCCTTCCAAGGGTGGGCAGCCTCCCAGTGTGGTCCTGGACTTCAGATGGACTAGAGCTGCCTGTGGTTGAGAGTCTGGGGTGGTGGTGGGACTGGTAGCAGCTTGCAGGGGAGGAGAGACCCCTGTATTAGTTTACTGGAGCTGCTGTAACAAGGTACCAGAAACAGTGTCCTAAAACCACAGGCATTGATTCTCTCAGAATTCTGGAGGCTAGAAGTGTGAGATCAAGGTGTCGGCAGACCATGCTCCCTCCGAAGGCTCTGGGGGACCATCTGTTCCACACCTTCCTCTTCCCTTTTGCTGCCTCCTGGCTTGCACCCCTCTCACTCCCATCTCAGCCTCCGTCTTCCCTCCATGTCTGTGTCCAAATGTCCCTGGTCTGACACCAGTCACTGGGTGAGGGCCCACCCTGCTCCTACAGCATGACCTCATCTTACCTAGATTATAGCCACAAAGACTGTCTGTCCAAGTGAGATCACATCACAAACATCAGGAGTTGAGACTTCAGTATGTCTTTTGGGGGAACACCATTCAACTCCAAAACAGCCCTCCTGGGAGAGGTGCCATTTGAGTTTGGGGGATGATAGAGGAGGAAGCCATTGAGGGAGAGACATCAGCTTGGGCAGAGGCACAAGGGCATGAAAGAGAGAACAGGCTGGGGTGACACTTTGTTCCCATTTCGTCCGTGACAGAACCACAAACGCCAATGAGAAAATATGTTGTGCTTCTCTGTGGCAGCCGGGGCAGCCAGGGTTTTTATACTGTCATCATAAATGACATCATCCTCAACAACGATGTCATCATTGTTATCATGAAAGAAGATAGGGAGAAGCCAGAGCTGTCTGTGTGTATAGGGCCCCTCCTGGCTTTCATACTGGGAAAGGCCTTCTCCTTGGTAGCCCTCCCATTTCCCTCTGGCAGCTTTGAGTGCTCCAGGCCCTGGCCAGGGTGGAAGTGGAGGGACAGTGATGAGCAGCCACAGACAGTCAAAGGCAGGAGTGACTGCAATGTGGCTTGGGATTAGGCTTTGCTCCACGAGCCTAAAGAGGTCTGCTTTGGGGTGAAGTGTCTACCCCACAACGCCTGTGAACTGTATATTCTCTCTGGCCCTGGCCAGCACCATATCCAAACCTGCTGGGCGTCATGCCTTGCAGTGCAGCCAGAGAATGCATCAGATTTGGAGGATGTATGTCCAGGGTGGCCTGTGGTCACCTGGGGGAAGGCTCTGAGCATGGCAAGAGGAAACCTCACGAGGGCCCTTTGTGAACTGGCCGGGCTTGCAGACCCCTGAGCACTTGTCCTCACCCCTGACTCTGTGACATCCACTCCCACCGGGTCTCATTCCACATTTGGGTTTTCTCAGCGTCTCATACCCCTAAGTCTCCACCAGCCCGCAAATGCAGAATTACCCTTGCCTCACAAATGGCCACTTTGAATCTCCTGGTGGGGCCACAGGCTGGGGTTGCCCCTGCAAATGGTTGGTAGAATCACGGGTCAGGAGGTCTCATTTCTACCCAGAAGGACCCTTGCTGTGCCTGAGGCAGGGCTGGGCTCAGGGCAGGGGTGGGAGACTGGGGAAGGGGCCCTTGATGCCCCTTCCTCTGGGGCCTGCAGGTCAGTGGCCTGAGCTCAGCTGCAGCAGCAACAAGGCTCAAGACCAAGGAGGAGACGAGAGCAAAACGAAAGGGGGCGGTGCCTGGGCCGGGGGTGGGGGGCACTTTTCTTACCTGCAACCCTCTGGGTCTCTCCTTTGGCCCACAGCTCCAGAGGTGAGGAAATTGTCCGCCTGCAGATCCTGACACCCAGGGCAGGACTCCGCCTAGTGGCCCCAGACCTGGAAGGCATGAGGTATGGGGCTCCTGCTGCTGTCCTGGCTCCCTGCACACATTCTAGAGATGGAGGCAGCAGCCTCAGCTGGCAAATGATGAGGCCTAGGGCTGGCCCTGCCACTGTAGGGCCAACAGGTTGGTGGGAGGCATGGTCGACCTGGGTTCTCTGCCCTATCTCATTCTTTCACTCAGAAAATCATTATGGAGTAAGCACTTGGTCTGTGGAAGGCCACAAGCCCAACCCTGGGACACAGTAGTGAATAGGAGCCTCGGCTGGAATTGCCGTCTGTCTGGTGGGGGAAGGCAGATGTTAACATGAGCATGAGTAAGTTCAGCCAGAGCTGCTGACCTTGCTGTGTGATAGGAGTCGCTGGGAAGTGACAGCTCAACCCTGCCAATCCCTGAAGATGGGACCAGCAAGCCATGCTGGGGACTTCGGTGGGGGTGGGAGGAGGATTGGGTCTGAGGAGCCCGTGAAGGCCACTGAGGTCATTGCCCTGCCTGTGTAAGAGGGCCACTGGGAATCGATTGGGGTCACTGGGTCAGAGTCCACAGCACTCCATGCCACTGGGCTCTGTGCTGGGGAAGGGTGGGTCAAGGAGGCCACCAGCAGGGAGCACGAGGGACTCAGCCCCTGCCCTGGGGCGGGGGACAGACAGCCAGGTAACATGAAGGCAGGATTTGGGGACTGGGGAGCGAAGTGGGAGTGTACACTGAAGGTCATCCTTTAATCCCTGGTGTGGCAGGAGCTTTGAACAGAGGCCTCTCAACAGTGTGGTGGGTGGGCGTGCTTGGGGAGGGCTTCCTAGAGGAAGTGACATTCAAGATGAGTCCTGAGCTGTCTCTAGGTCCCTTTACACGCCCCCTTGGCTCTTCCCACTTTACCTCCACCCCCAAGGCACCAAGTCCTATCCATTTTAGTTTAGAGATGTTTCCATCCCTATTTCCCTGCCACTCGCCTAGTTGTCTGCAGCCGTTTCCTACTATCCCATCCCGGGACTGCCTTCCACATCTACCTTGATGATGTTTCAAAGAGCAGAAGTAGTAATGCCAGCCCCTGCAGAAAGCCCACTATCCTTTGCAGCCTGAACTCAGTATCTGGTCCCACCTTCAGGCTCCTCCCTCCCTGGGCCTTTCTTTGTGCGGGCTGGTGGCTCTGCCTGAGATGCCCTTTCCCCTGTTCATTTTTCTGCCCCACCTCAAATGTCCTGTCTTCTGGGTCACCTCCTCCTCCTAAGTTTCTTCCCCAGGCATCACAGCGTCCATTGCTCATAGATGTAGATACAGTCACTATGCCCATTTTACAAATGAAGAAACTGAGACCCTGAATGGTTAAGTAACTTGCTCAAGGTCACATGGTCCAGAGCAGGCAGATCCGCCCAGCCTGCCTGACTCCCACCTCCCACCTTCTGTACCACAGCTCATTGTACTAGTTGGATCAGGGAGCAGTGATAGAAAGACTTGGTATTTGCTGAGTGAACTCATTTGATGAGTTTATTCGTAGGCATTCAAGTAAAAATTTCCAGGAGGGAGGTATTTGAAGGTTTGTGATTGAGGTTTGAGAGAGTGATCAAGGATCAAGGGATTTCCACGTTATATGCAGACAGAATAGAGCTGGAATCATGAGCATAAACTAGCTTTACATGGGGATCATGGCGAACCAATGTAAGCTGGGCACCGTCCTCAGTGTGCAGGTGGCAGCCACCTGGCCATCCGTCCTGAGGAGGGGAGGGAACAAGTGGAGATCCTTGGTTCAGGGGTGGCGGTTGACGCTTTGGGAGGGGAGGAGATGGCCCAGCAGGTGGTGGGGCACGTGAAGGGGAGGAGAAAAAGGTGGAGACCAGGAATGGCTGTGGCCAGGGAGGTAGGTAGGAGGTGTTGACAGGGTCAAGGGAGGAGGGCTGGCAAGAAGGCTGGCATGGCCCTCCATACAGTCACTATGCCCATTTTACAAATGAAGAAACTGAGAAGGTCAGCAGTATTGAACAGTGGTTTGAAATAATGATGAGACTGTCTCTGCTGGATTTGACAACATGGGGTTCCCTGATGACCTGAAGGAGAACAGAAGGGGGCTTGAATTAGGAGGATCAGTCTTACACTATAAAGGAATATAGTCAATTCCCAGTTACTCCTCTTACTACCTGTGAAATTTGGGGCAAATCACATGAGCTTTGTGTGCCTCTGTTTGCTCCTCTGAAAAATGTGCATGGGCAGTAACAGTGCCCATAACCTGGGGTTGATTTGTCACGACAACAGGCTCCAGCGCCTGAGCTATGCCGGGCACAGTGGCTCATGCCTGTAATTCCAGCATAGCAGCAAAAAACAAACAAACAAAATCAATAAAAACAAAAACGAAAACCAGTAGCTCTTAATAATGAGGTTTTGAGAACTGACCACTCTGTCAATCAGAAGGGTTTGCTTTTGTTTTTTAAAACAGCATCTTGCTGTGTGTACCCAGGCTCAAGTGCAGTGGTGCCATCACGGCTCACTGCAGCCTCAACCTTCCAGGCTCAACTGATCCTCCTGCAGCAACCTCCCAAGTAGCTGAGACCACAGGCACGCACCAGCACTCCTAACTTTCAAAAATATGTTTTTTAGAGATGGAGTCTAGCTGTGTTTCTCAGGCTGGTCTTGAACTCCTGGGCTCAAGTGATCCTCTTGCCTCAGACTCTCAAAATGCTGGGATTACAGGCGTGAACCACTGCACCCAGCCCATATCAGGTTTTAAGCTCTGTGGAGACAGCTGACATTTGCAGATAAGGTAGCAATGGCTGCCGTGTGGTTGACTTCCATTTTTTTCCTCCATAGGTCTTCCCCAGGCCACAAAGACAAGGAGGCTCCCTGCTCCAGAGAACTCCAGAGGGAACTGGCTGACGAGGAGGCCTTCAGGGGCCCCAACACAGATGGTGAAAGGTAAAGTCAGACACTTCATTCCCAGAACATGGAGCCTATATACACCCAGCTGAAGGACTTCCATGGCCTCTGGTGCAATGTCAATGGATGCAACTGGGGCCAGAATGGTCCTGTTCCTGCTGTGCCCCCAGTGCCTGTTGTAGTGCAGGTCTTTAATGAATATCTGTTGAAAGAATGAATTAATGAATAAATAAATGAGGCTTGGAGGGGTGTAGGCCCCTGCCATGATTCCTCAGGAAGCCAGTTGCAGAGCAGGACCAAACTACAGGGCAGGCCACCCCCAGCTCCTGGCCCGTGCTGGGTTCCTTCCATTCCCCTGAAGCTTCCACACTCACTATGCTTTTACTGTAGGGTAAAGCAGTCCTGCCAATGGCTAGGGCAAAGCAAGACCACCGAGCTGGCAGTCTGGGAGACTCAGTGACCAAAGTATGCAGGCCCCCATAGAGCATGTGGCAGAGATTGTCAAGATGACCTGTGGACTATGGGAGACGTTGTGGCAAGGGGTGAGGGGTCCAGGATGGGAAGTTGGAGCCATAGCAGTGGAGGATGAGTACTGATGGGATGATTGTTCGAAGTCAGTCCAGCGCCAAATATGTCTGGTGAGCAGTGGCTGCAGACTGGGCATTTCCTCAATGCAAACCTGGTGGCAAGTTACAGCTAAGAACCCACACACCCCTCTTCTCATTGTGCATCCCTGGAGCCCCCAGTTGGGACACTGAGTCCTGGGAATGAGGAAGGGGAGTCCTCTATGGCTTATTACCAGCCTCACATGCCTCGCCCCTTGCTCTGTTGGCAATCAGCCCCCCAAGCATCTGGCCTCCTCCCTATCTTCCACCTTGCTCCCAACCAACCCATCAGGTTTGGGAAAAACACATAAATACTTCCTGTTAGAGTCAACTTGGGCTTGCCTCAGCTCTGGTCAGAGCAACACAGAATAGCAGCCAAAGGCCTGTGCTTCTGGTCCTGAGGCCCACTGCCATGGCATCTGGGTTAGCTGAGATCAAAATGCAACCAGAGTCAGCAAATGCTCCTCTTCTCATAACAGGTCAAGTGCACAGTTGAGTGATGGCAATGTGGGATCCGGAGCCCCAGGCTCCTGGCCTGAAGGCGTGGCTGCAGTAGACATCGGCTCCAAGACAGGAAGGTGAGCTGCCCAGGGGAGGCATGTTCTCTCATGCCCCTGGTGACAGTCCAGGGTCAAGCTGCCAGGCTGCTTGGGCTGCTGCGGGTGGGCCACTGGTCACTTACCATGGCCCCTGTCTACTGCTTCTCTTACACTTCTGCCCTCCACCACATCCTATGTCCTTGGGCTTTCCACTTCTTGGAATCTTGTTCTTTTTTGTGACCCCTGCCACTGGCCCTCAAGCTTCTCCAGAGTGGGCACTAGGCCCACTCACAGCTGGAGCCCTCTCCCCTACATGGTGCTGGTCCTGGGCTGGTACAATAAATGCGTGGGGAATACATGAAGGGACAAACTAATGAGTGAATGATTTAATGATGGAAGAGTTGGCACCTTGTTACTTCTTGGTTTTGCTCTGAGGACCAGCTAGGAGGCCCTTTGCTCCTGCTTTGTCCCCTCTCCCCTTTTCCTGCCCCACACCTCCCCCAGCCAGCTCTGCTCTGAGGTTCAGGGTGAGGAAAAACAGCTGGACCTGGGCCACTTTCTCAGGTGATTTGGGGAGTGTCCCAAATCACTTGTCCCTAAATGGTTCCAAATGAAGCCTGAATCATCTTAGGGGCAAAGGCTAGGTATGCAGATGTTGGCATAAATAGTTTAGCTCCAAACTGTGCTAGAGCCCTTCTGGTTTAGAGAAGATGGCTAGGGAAGAGTGGCAAAGCCAGCGTCTGCAAAGAGCTACAACCGCAAGATACCATCTGCCTCCTGAATCCTACTGCAGTCTGGCCAAAGAGGGAGTCCTGTGGGGGAGACCCCACTGACTGCTTTCCTGCTTCCCTCAGCACACCTGGGCCCCTTTCCCTCCCTAACTTCAATAGTGTACAATTCATGCCTGGAGCTTGAGCCTGGCTTCTAAATCCAGGTCCACAAGTCAACACAGGAAGGGGAGAGCAGGTCCTGGCATCTGAAACCCGTGTCTCTGAGCAGGCAAGGAAAGGCCACCTAAGACTGTGTTCTTGGAGCTGCCACTAATGGGGAGGAGTGTGCTAGAGCCCTGTCCATGCAGCCTGCATCTTTTTACTGTCTGCAGAGGCATTGGAGGGATCTTTTAAAAATTAAGTTAGATCACATTTCTCCCCTGCTAAAACCTTCGAGTGGCTCTCCATTTGACTTAGAATAAAGCCCAAACACTTTCCCATGGCCCACTGGGTCCTGCGTGGCAGAACCCATGGCCGTCAATCCAGTCTGGGCTCCTACCGCTCTCCCCACGGTGGCGCAGCTTGACTGGCTTTGCTGACGGCTGTCACAGAAAAGACTTCTGGTCTCCCATGATTGTATGTGGTTCTTGTCTCCTCCATGTCACCCCCTCCTACTTATGCACCCTCATAACAAGAAGCCTGTGTTCTCCACTGTTCCGTAAAGTGAAACCACGCCTCAAAGTAGCTTGTAAAATTATCTGAAGAATCTTCTGGATTTTTTTCTTTTTTTTTTTTTTTGAGGCAGAGTCTCACTCTATCAGCCAGCATGGAGTGCAGTGGTGCGATCTTAGCTCACTGCAACCTCCACCTTCTGGGTTCAAGCAATTCTCCTGCGTCAGCCTCCCGAGTAGCTGGGATTACAGGCGTGCACCACCACACCTGGCTAATTTTTGTATTTTTAGTAGACACAGGGTTTCACCATGTTTACCAGGATGGTCCTGAACTCCTGACCTCAAATGATCCGACCGCCTCGACCTCCCAAAGTGCTGGGATGACAGGTTTGAGCCACCGCGCCCACCCTAACCCAGTCTTTTACAGTTGTCTTACCCGTATAGTCGTCCCTAGGCATCTGTGAGGCATTGCTTCCAGAACCTCTCTCATATACCAAAATCCATGCATATTCAAGTCCCTGATATAAAATGGTGTAGCATTTGCATGTAACCTATGCACAACCTTCTGTACCCCTTAAAACATCTCTAGATTAGGATAATACCTCATACAATGTAAGTGGTATGTAAATAGTTGTTATACTGTATTATTTAGGGAATGATGACAGAAAAAAGCCTGTACATGTTCTGTACGGATGCACTCATTCTTTTAAAATTTTTCCCAAATATCTTTCTCTCCTCTCCTCTCCTGTCCTCTCCTCTCCTCTTCTCCTCTCCTCTCCTCTTTTCTTTTCTAGACAAGGTTTTTCTCTATCACCCAGGGCAGACTGCAGTGGAATGATCACAGCTAACAACAGCCTCAACCTCTGGGGCTCAAGGGATCCTCCAACATCAGCTTCCAGACTAGCTGGGACTACAGGCGTGTACCACCATGCCTGGCTAATTTTTGTATTTTTGGTGGAGACGAGGTTTCACCATGTTACCCAGGCTAATCTCAAACTCGTGGGCTGAAGCAGTCCACCCACTTCAGCCTCCCAAAGTGCTGGGATTACAGGCATGAGCCACTGTACCCGGCCCCAGATCTTTTCAATCTGAAGTTGGTTGAATCCATAGATGTGGAACTCACAACACAGAGGGCTCACCGCATTTAGTTTGACAATGATTTTCAACAAAATCCTTTACTGTTTTTCCAAAGGAAAGGCTGTTTCTTGTGGAAACAACCACTTTTCTTTTCCATTCATTTTCACGGATTTCCTTAATCATTGAACTTAGTGATTCTTTCCCAGTAGTGGCAGCTCAAAGAACCAAGAACCAAGTCCCTGGCCCAGGGACCTTTGCCTGGACCTGCTTAGAGACACTGGTTTCAGAGGCCAGGGCCTGCTGTCCTCTTCTTGTGCAAATACAACTGGTATAAAGAGGTCTGGGACCAAACAAGAGAGCCTCTTAGTGAGTGGTCAGTGCAGGGCACAGGCTTGCAGAGGCAGTGATTGTTGAGAATGCTGTGAGCATCAGTCTGCCCGGTTTACAGAGACACAGAGAAGGTGGCTGAGTAAGAAAGTCCCCAATAAATCCGTATTGAATGGGTGAATACAGGTGGACTGGGAAGGGACACTGCTTCCACAAACAACCACACGGCCCACTAGTAACATGAACACATTAGCACTTATTATGGCCCAGGCATTATTCAAAGTACTTGGCATCTATGAACTCATTTACTTTCCTCAGAGTACTTACGCGACAGACATGATTATCATCCCTATTTCACTGATGAGAAAACTGAGGCCCAGAAAGGACAGGTAACATGCCCAAGGTCACACAGCTGGGAGATAGGAAAGCCATGATTTGAATGCAGGCAACGCCAGGGAGCAACCACTATGTCACAGAGCCCGAGGTGCCAGGCTGCCTTGAGAGATAAATATTGTGCCCCAAGTGTCCATTTGAGCATTTTCTTGGTCCTCATGATCTATCGGGGCAGGAGCCACTCTCTCAGGAGAGGGCAGACATACAGACACAGTCCTGAACCTGAACCGGGCCATGCTCAGCTGCTAGCTTTGCCTCTTTCCTGGATGTGCACAGTGCCAACTCTCAGTCCTGCAAGCCTGGACCGGCAGCCATCAGGTAAGGGTAGGACAACTGCCCTAGTGCCCTATCCCATTGCCAGACACAGCCTTCAGGGCTCAGCCTCAGCCGCAGCACCCCAAGGTCCCCCTCAAACTTCTCAGCTCCATGCCACTTTCACATCAGGTGATCACAGCAAGACAGGGAATCCCAAGGGGAGCCCTGACTAGGGGCAGTGGAAGAACAGGGACTGGTGATATGTCTGCTCACTCAGAGTCCAGCACCAACCGACATGGACCCAAGCTGAGGTGGCAGAGAGGAAGGCACTGGAAGGCAGAGCCTGGGAAAAGATCCTGCTAGGAGGTCTCAGGAACCTCTGCTGTTGGGACTACAGCTAGGTTCAGCAAGCAGGAGTCAGGGAGAAGATTCCCAGGGACAGCCAGAATTAGAGGGCTCAGTCCCCAGGAGCATGCGATAGGTGGCTGGGATGGGCAAATGACTCCCGGGGCACAAAGGTATAATGGAAGAAGCTATGGATTCCCACGCTGTAGGCATCTGCCCTGTTTCACCCACCAGTCCACCAGTGGGCATGGCCACTTTGCTATGGGTATGTGGAGCATTTGGCAAACCCTAGTGAGAAACAATCTTGACTCTCACAAACCCTAAGGAGGTATAGGTCAGGTAAGAATATGTCATGCTCAGGGTCAGGTTCCAGCCCCCGCTGAGGACTGAAGGGAGCGGGTGGACATGGGGCAGGGAGCTGGAACTCGAGAGATAGCAGGTAAATGAGACATGGCTTTTTTCAGCAGCAGCTCTCTTACACGGCTTTCTCAAACTACCTTTCTCATGAGCAGCTTTCTCTCACACTGTCTGCCCGGTCTCAGCTGCTTAGTCCAGCAGCCCCCTTGCCATCAGGGTCAGCAGCTTAATTCTTCCTCTCCCTGAGCACGAGCAGGCCAAGCTGTGTCCTGGCTACCCTGTGTCCATCTGCAAAGATGGACAGCTCTTATTGTCTCTCTTTCTCTGGATGCCTGCGCACCCGCCATGTCAAGCCGAGCTGACATGTTGAGGTGAGCTGAGCCCCAACATCCCAAGAGCCATGTCCCCCGTGCACAGCGTCAACAGGGCAGTTATACCTTTTACAGACAATTGTGGCTTACAGCCAAGTATGAACTTAAACAGGTTTTATAACAAGTGGAGGTATGCACTTGCACGCCGGACTCACTGAGTCATGTAGGCCTGGATATCTCCCTCCGCCTATTCCTTGACCAAAGAACATCCATGTACCTTACAGGATACTAGAACCAAAAACCAGGAGAATTCCCCAGGGAACCAAAGTTGGTCAGGTGCTAAGGCCATGTTCAAAGCTGACACGAGGTTGTCACACACAGTGGCATCAGTGCCACACTAATGCCAGGACTGACACCAGCCTTTACTGGAAGACACAGTTCCTCCCTTTCTGGTGAGAAGGCAGCCTAGAGGGGGAAGACCTAGGCCGCAACCTCCTTTGGTTTGAGATCTCAGCAGGCCTGTGTTTCCTTCCTCAGCTCCAGTGCCGCTTCAGTCTCTGCTGTCCCTGCTGATAGGAAGAGCGACAGCACAGCAGCCCTGGAGAATGCGAAGGCAGACCCAAAGGGGTAAGACATGAGCAGACAGTGCCAAGCTTCTTGGGTGCAGAGAGGCAGCTTAGGCTGTGTGTCCATTGGCCTTTGGTTGGGAAGGTGAGGCCAGGAAAGTTTGTGAGCTGCTCTGAGGCACATAGCAAAGGCAGAAGCCCCAACTGGAACCCTCTTGCTTCTGGGGCCAGGGAGCTTTCCACGAAACATTATTGCCTTGACCAGGATGTACCCCATAGTCAGAAAGGATCTTTCAGTCAGCAACCACTCTGACAGCACCTGCCTTTTACTGGACGCTGACGCACACAAACAAATCAGAAACACCGCTGCCTTCCAGGAGCTCTCAGGCAGGGTAGTGGGCAAAGTCTGGTCCAGATTAGAGCAATACACCAGCGCTAGAGCAGGGGAAGGGAACTTCATGGGAAGGTGGCTTTTGAATGGAATGTTGACAGGTGAGGAGGAGTCCTTCAAGCAGAGGGAACAGGATACGCAAAGGGCTCAAGAGATCCTGGTGTTTCCTGGGCACTGTATGTAGCTGGGTGTGGCCAGCAATGAGTGTCCTTGTGGGGGAGTGCTGGCAGAGGAGGCTCAGTGAACTAGGTAGGGCTTGATTGGGTCTTTGTGCTGTGATATTGGAGCCTACTGTGTGTACAGCCCTCTACTCACAGTATCTCATATAGTCCTCTTCACAGTCTCTCAAAGATTTATGCCTAATTACAACAAAACCCAAAAGCCTGGAGCCTAGGTCTCTGTGCCTCCTGGGAAGGATAGTGCTCTGAGGAAAACAGCCACAACTGAGATACAGTGATGGTGGTGAGGAGGGTGGAAAAGGCAACTCAGGCGAGCTCCTCTAAAGAGGAGAAGGAGCCAACTCTACAAACAGCAAGATGGAGAGAGCTGTAGATAAGGAACCACAAACCAGATACCCTGAGGTGGGACAGAGTGGCTGGAGCCTGGCTGGCAAGGAGGGGCATAGATGGAGCAGGGCCTTGGTAAGCCATGATTAAGAGATAGGATCTTATTTCAAGTTTTAAGCCAAAAGGGAGCCTGATGTGATTTAGGTGTTTAAAAGGTAAATGCATGTTTGCATTTTCACACCACATTGCTGTTGCTATTTTATTTAAACCAGGATGCTGGCGGCTGGGGTGGACAACGGATCTCTAAGGTGTGGGGTCTTATTCTGTTTCTTTTCTCTTTCAAATTGCACTGACAATTAATAATCAGAGTGAAAACAGTAGCTGACACCAATACTGTGCTGTTCTAGATGCCTTACAGCCTTCTTAGCAACCCTGTGAGATGGGTGAGGTGGGAAACTGAAGCACAGAAAGATAAGTGAGTTAGCTAAGGCTTTACAAGTGGCAGAGCTGAATTCCAAGGGAAGAGGCTCTAACAAAATCCTCAGGAGAAACAACGAAAAACTATTTTATGAAATCTTGTCTTTGGAGCCTAGTCTCAAGACCCAGAATCAGTAACTTAGAGCTGGTTAACATGTTTAACATGCTGTGTGATCACACTTAATTCTCCCCAAACCTGGAAAAGGATAAGGCTTCTTAGTATGCAACTTGACAGAGGAGAAGATTGAGGAACTCACTCCTGTGATGAACACACCTATGAACAGAGTCCATTTCCAGCCAACGCTAGAGCCAGGCTCAAACTACGTTCCTCTGACGTTTAAATGTCTACAAAATCAGACTCTCTCTCTCTCTCTCTCTCTCTCTCTCTCTCTCTCTCTCTTTCTTTCTGAGATGGAGTTTCACTGTTGCCCCAGCTGGGGTGCACTGGTGTGATCTTGGCTGACTGCAGCCTTTGCCTCCTGGGTTCAAGTGATTCTCCTGCCTCAGCCTCCTGAGCAGCTGGGATTACAGGTGTGCGCCACCATGCCTGACTAATTTTTGTATTTTTAGTAGAGACAGGGTTTCACTATGTTGGCCAGGTTGGTCTCGAACCCCTGACCTCAAGCAGTCCGCCCACCTTAGCCTCCCAAAGTACTGAGATTACAGGCATGAGTCAGTGTGCACAGCCAATACAGACTTTCTTGATTACGGTGTTTCACAACTCTGGCCGTACTTGATAATCAACTAGGAAGTACTGAAACACATTGCTGATGAAAAAGGCCATTCTCTGTAAAATATATGAAGAAATACTGAGCCAAATGTGAGGACCATGACCTGAGAGCATGTTCAGTTACAGCTTGGTTTTATATGTTTAGGGAGACATAAGACATTAATCAATATATGTGAGGTATACATTAGTTAGGTCCAGAAAGGCAGGACACCTCGAAGCTGGGATGTGATGGGGGTGGGAGTGGGGTTCCAGGTCATAGGTGGATTCAGAGATTTGCTGATTGACAATTGGTTGAAAGAGTTGCTATTATCTAAGGACCTGGAATGAATAGAAAGGAATGCCTGGGTTAAGATAAGGGGTTGTGGAGACCAAGGTTCTTATATAGATGAAGTCTAATAGGTGGCTGCCCTTTGAAGCAATAAATGGCAAATGTTTCTTTTTTTTTTTTTTTTTTTTTGAGACGGAGTTTCTCTCTTGTTGCCCAGGCTGGAGTGCAATGGCGCGATCTCGGCTCACCGCAACCTCCGCCTCCTGGGTTCAGGCAATTCTCCTGCCTCAGCCTCCTGAGTAGCTGGGATTACAGGCACGCGCCACCATGCCCAGCTGAATTTTTGTATTTTTAGTAGAGACGGGGTTTCACCTTGTTGACCAGGATGGTCTCGATCTCTTGACCTCGTGATCCACCCGTCTCGGCTTCCCAAAGTGCTGGGATTACAGGCGTGAGCCACCGTGCCCGGCCGGCAAATGTTTCTTATTGAGAACTTTAACGGGTGCTAGACTCTCAGCTAAACTCTTGAGATCAGAAAAAGTCCTGGAAAGGGAAGGAGATTCTCTACAAAATGTACATTTCCCCCAGGAGAGACAGCTTTGCAGGGTAATTTCAAAATATGTCTATATATATATAGGTGTAAAATGCTTCAATTTCTTTCATTACCTGCTCTCTGTCATGCTATGCTAGACTCAAGTTGGAATTTGGCATCTTATTGCTTCAAGGAATCTGTTTTGTCAGTCTGAATCTCTCTCTCAATGTTAATGCTGGTCAATTGTGCCTAAATTCCAAAGGGAGGAGAATATATTGAGGCATGTCCGACCTTCCCCTTTCTCATCATGACCTGAACTAGTTTTTCACGTTGTGTCCCCTTGTCTGAGAGAAGTGTCAGCTGGGGAGCTTAGAATTTTATTTTTGGTTTACAACACAACAAAAACTTTCCTAAAGCCCCGGATAGAGATTTGGATATTATTTTTCTGGGGAGGGTCGCCATCATCTGTGTCTTTTTCAAAGCTCCCCAGTTTATTCTCCTTCCAGGCTAGGTTGAGAACCGTTGTTCTCAGTGAGTGGTTCTGAACTAGGAGGAATCTCCCAAACCTTCCAGCCTGCTACGGCACAATGTCTGGGAGCCATTTTTGGTTGTCAAAATCGAGCTGGAGATACTACTGGCTTCTTATGTGTAGATATCTTGGATGCTGCTAAATATACAGTGAACAGGATAGCACCCGCTCCATATCCCCCAACACACACCACAGAATTAATCTGCCTCAAACTGGTAATAGTGCTGAGATTGACAACCTCTGCTCTAAAGCTTTCACGATCTCTTTGAGAAAACATAAGGGATGGGAGAAAAAACGGGATGGAACACACCGGCATCCCTTGGCTTCCCCAGGTTCTGGGTAGCGGGCGTAGGACGTGTGCGCCTGCACGAATGCGCACTCTGCACCAGCGTACGCGACGCGTGCGTGCCAGTGCACCTCGGCGAGCGCGCGCCCGTAGTGAGTGCGCCTGCGCATGCCGCCATTTCTTGCAGCCGCGAACTCAGTCGCAGCGCCCGCCGGGAAAATGCGACCGTCCACAAAGCGAAATGGCCGCCTGGCAGTGCTCCGCCTCGGTGGGCATTCTCATGAGGCCGTGCCCGCACCGGCCGCCAGAGGGCGCCCAAGGATCACGAATGGGTCCGAGGCGCTGGCTGCCCGGTCTTACGTGCAAGGTCTGCAGCCGCGGCCATAGTGGCCTTGGGGTGACCGCGCGTGGACCGTCGCCGGCGGAAGGAAGCGCGGTTCCGCGAGGGGCTGAACGGGGCTCCTGAGGCCTGAGATTGTTTCTTAGGGAGCCCTGGCGGCCATGGTTTCTGGAACACCGGACACGGGTCTTCAGGGCTGTCCAGTGGAAGTGGGTGTGGACGTGAGGACAGTGAGGGCAACTGGACCGTCCAACCACGCTGGGCCCTCGGGCTGACTGCGCTGGGCTATGGGGTCAGTGAGGAGGGGTTTCCTTCCCTAGAAGTTTGATGACGGAGCGCCATGGGGGTGGCGTTATCCTGTCATCCTGCAGGGCAGTGGAGACTTACTTTCCCTAGGTTACTGCTGGGGTCTCACCCGCAGACCCAGTATTGCACGACGGATGAATAACATACACTGACACAGATATCTTACCTGTCAGTCCTACTAAGGGGCTCTGCTCCTTAGTCTGCAGGGTGGCCTGGATTGGCAAAGTTCACATTTATTTAGTACAGATTAAATGACAGAGGTCGTGAGTAAAGACTACTAGAGGGTAATTAACATTACTGACCCCCCGAGTAGAGAGCAATCATGCACCCGCGGATGGTTAAAGGTTAGTCTTTGGACCACATGAGTAAAGAAGCTATTTACATAGACTCCTTTACAGTCCTTTGTTATTTGCTTTTCTGCTATCAACTTAAGGTAAAGAGAATAGGCTGCCTTCAGCCAGATCTTTTACTGAAACTATGCAAACCCCCTGGCCTTCCAAGAAGGTTTGTGATTATTTTCTATAACTTTACAATTTCTCCCACCATCCTGACTGAACCCCCCCCCCCCACAGGTTACAACACAATTTCAACTGTCCCAAACTGTAGGGACTCTGCTCTATTCTACCTTGGGCTACCCCATCACACTATAGGGAGAGAGGGTATGGTTTGTGGTTGAGAGCCTGGACTCTGGTTCTTTGGGTTCCAATACAAGCTCTGTCACTTAGAAGCTCCGTGGCCTTGGACATGCTACTCATCTCCTCTGTGCCCCAGGTTCCTCATCTGTAGAATAGTGGTAATCATACTTCCTACCATAAAGGGTTGTTGAAACGGTTAAATGAGTTTGTATATGTAAAGCATGTAGCATATTTAAACCTGTGAGCTAAGTGAAGCAGCACCAGAGGAATACCTCCTCTCTCAGAGGTGTTCAGGGACACCTAGAAAGCTGACTTTGTCAGCTTTATTGGCTTGATTTCATTTGACAAGACACAATATCCCATCTCCTTCCTACTAAACTTTTGTCATCAAATTTTACATCTAGAACATGCTGTTTTCCTCATTATGTTGCCAGCAGGGGCTTCTCAAGCTTATGTTTTTTCTGCATGAGGATCAGGTGAAGTTTAGCCACCACATTTCCTCACCACTGTCAACGTTGTTGGCCAGTGGAGGAGTCTAGCGGAGGTAGTACAAGAGTGGGAGTATCAGCTGGGTGCAGTGGCTCAGGCCTGCCTATAATCCTATACTTTGAGAGGCCGAGGCGGGAAGACCAGTTGAGTTCTGGGGATTGAGAACAGCGTGAGCAACATAGTGAGACCTCATCTCTACAAATATTTATATATATATTAAATATATATAATATATATGATACATATTTTCATATATGTCATATATGTGTGTGTGTGTGTGTGTGTGTGTGTGTGTGTGTTTGAAACAGTGTTTCACTTCTGTCGCCCAAGGCTGGAGTGCAGTGGGGTTGATCTCAGCTTACTGCAGCCTCTGCCTCCCAGGCTCAAGTGATTCTTCTGCCTTTACCTCCCAAGTAGCTGGGACTATAGGTACACCCCACTGGACCTGGCTAATTTTTGTATTTTTTGTAAAGATGAATTTTTGCCGTGTTTCCCAGGCTGGTCTCAAACTCCTGACCTCAACTGATCCACCCCCTCTGCCTCCCAAAGTACTGAGATTACAGGCATAAACCACTATACCAGGAGTACAATTTTTTTTTTTTTTTTTTGGTCAAGAATGGAAGTGTGTAGAGTTAGGAACTGACAGTGGCTGTACTAGGCTACTGGATCTCTGGTTCACTTACATTCAGAAGGAAAGGCTTCAGAGAAATTAATCGCAAATCCAAGCCGCATTGGTCACCATCCCGTGTGTTACCTTGCCTATCTTTAACCACTTGACTTCCAGGCAGTTCATGAGGGGTTCAGACAGGATAGCTGGGAAGTCATTCCCCTGGATGTTACATTGTCCAGCAGAGCTTCCTGTGAATGTTTGCCTAAGATTTCCTTTTTATGACCCACATAGGTGATATCTCCTAAAATCATAGTGGCCCTGCCACAGGCATAGGAATGAAGAAGCCTTGTTCATCCATTTGCCCTTGTGTCACAGTGGAGCCCAAATTTCCCTTTGTGGAGAATCCTCGCTCTATCCACAAACTTGGTGAGGGCAACCTCTACTAGACTATTTCTACAGAGGACATGGGACAGGGCAAGACTCTGATAAAATCCATAGTAAAGCTAGCTCAGGGCTATCACTGGAGGGAGGCAAGCTCTTCAGGCCTTGTATGTTTGTCTTTGGCTCAAGCAAGCATGACACTGACAGCGGTAAAGTGGGTGTGTCAGGGCAGCCTGCTGGCAACCCTGGGACTGGTGTTACCTGTGCAAACCACTGTTGGCATCTACATGGGCTGCAGCACACCGTAAGGGAGGAAGCTGCACAGAGAAGCACAGGCCCCATGGGAGGGCTCCCCACAGTTACTGTATGGCGGCACATTCACTTGCCTGCAGTTCTGCCTGGTGCAGCTGGAGGTGGCAGTTAGCTTGTTGTCCCTGCTGGAGAATTTTAGTTCCCCACCTCCACCTGAGGCTGAAGAATCACATTGCTTTCAGGGCATACTTTCCAAAAAGTGTGGCCACTGTTTGCCTTGTTATTCCAGCTTGAAGGCTGTGAGTCTGCATAGACAAAGTTAACTCCTATATATAAAGAGTCCCAGGGTAGTTGGTAGTGTGTTCTTGTCCTGGGAAGTCCCCACTAGCTATTGAAGGCAAGCTGATAATATTGGGAAAGTTACATTCAGAGTGATCTAGGATTGAGGTGACGGTGAACTAGATTTTCATTCTGAAATGCTGGGCTCATGCTCTTAGTAACCCAACTTGGTGTTTGCCACTGGCCTAGTAGACTCTGGAAGCAGTACCTTGCACCTTGGGGCGGGGCTGGTGGTGGGAGGGGTATGCAAGTAGAAAATCAACTAGCAACCTGTTTCCCATGGCACCCAGCCTTGAGGGTGCAATGCAAGCATGGGGTGAGGCCAGGGAAGACCCATGCAGAACTGGATGCCTGAGACATCTGGGGATGCCCTGCCCTTTTTGCTGGATTCAGGGGTGGCAAAAGCCAAAAATTGGAGGGCCAGGTGCAGTGGTACATTCCTGCAATCCCTGCACTTTGGGAGGCCAGGGTGGGAGGATTGCTTGAGACCAGCCTGGGCAACTTGGTGAAACCCCATCTCTACAAAAATTAAAATAATAAATAAATAATTAGCTGGACGTGGTAGTGTGGACCTGTAGTCTTAGCTACTCGGGAGGTTGATACAGGAGGATGACTTCAGCCTGGGAGGCAGAGGTTACAGTGAGCCGAGATGGTGTCACTGCAGTCCAGCCTGGGCCACAGAGTGAGACCCTGCCTCCAAACAACAACAATCACAAAAGCATCAGAGGTGGCTGGGTGCAGTGGCTCTCGTCTGTAACCCCAGCACTTTGGGAGGCTTAGGTGGGCGGATCACCAGATCAAGAGATCGAGACCATCCTGGCCAACATGATGAAACCCTGTCTCTACTAAAAATACAAACATTAGCTGGGCGTGATGGTGGGCACCTGTAATCCCAGCTGCTTGGGAGGCTGAGGCAGGAGAATCGCTTGAACCCGGAAGGCAGAGGTTGCAGTGAGCCAAGATCATGCCACTTGCACTCTAGCCTGGTGACAGAGCCAGACTCCATCAAAAAAATAAAAATAATAATAAAAATAAAAAAAGTATCGGAGGCTTCGGCTTCATCTATTACACATGGAGGCCTTTTCAGTGAAAAGGGAGCAGTGGTGCTGGGCTCCTACCAAGGAGGAGACTGTCTGCTCCCTGGAATGGGGGCTGTGCCTGGCTCCTTTCTGCCCCACTTTCAGGGAGATAAGTCCCTCCAAGTCCACAGGAGGTTACAGCCAGCCTGCATGCTGCGGCTGAGCCAGGGTTAGTCTCAGAGCACTTGCCTCATAAGGGTGCTTATTCTTCCTCAGTGTCTTGGCTGATTATGAGGAGAAGAATATAGCCACCAAGGCCAGAGAGACCTGGCAGGAGAGCCCTGGAGCCCCAGGAGGTGGCCAAGGAGACCCAGCTGTACCCACTCAGCAACCTACAGATCCCAGCACCCCAGAGCGGCAGAGCAGCCCCAGTGGATGTGAGCAACTCGTTGGACAAGAGAGCTGCGCCAGCAGGTAAGGGCTGAGCTGCACTGGGCTCTGCCTCTAGAGCCAGTGTTTTTATTGATGTCTGCAACCCGGGGAGGAACGACTTCCCCACACCTCGTACCAGTACCTGACACATTGTGCACCCAGGTGCCTGGGCTCCTGTTCCGTGAGTGGGTAATGGTAGTGATTCCCTGGGAGTAGAGCACTATCCTTGTGCTTCCTGTGGCTCAAGGAGCTGGGAGGGGACTGTGACAGGAGGATGTGTCTGTCCCCAGGTGTGAGAAGTCCGGGCTAATTCCCAATGCATGGGACAGAAAGGAAGGCTGTCTCCCAGAGTCCAGATGCTCTACAGGGGGCATCCTGGGAAGGGTGAGGGCTATTTGTGTGGGTAAAATGACATTGTCAGAGAAGGACAGAGTGTGAAAGAGCAAAAAAGAGAGGGTAAAAGTGCAAAAGAGTGACAGAGTGAAGCAGAGAGAGAGAGAGAGAGGCCAGAAGGAGTGAAAGGGAGCACATGTGAGGAGGCATGAGAGAGTGAGAGAGTGACGCAGGATGCGGTGGCCATGTGCAGGTGTGTGCAGGTGTGTGCAGGTGCATGAGCAGGAGGACAAGCGTGCCTGTGCCTGTAGCTGACCATGTGGCATTGGTGTGAGAGTTTCGACTCAGGCTCTCTTGAAGGCATCTCGCCTACCAGTGCCAACACTACATGTCCATACAACTCTGGACATGTCACCAGGCCAGTGATTCTGGGGCTGGAAAGCAAACAGTTTCTTACACAAGATAGAAATGTAGAAGGAGAGAGCTAAGACTCACATTGCCCCAAGAGAAAGGACTTGGTGGAGTCCAGCAACACATCTGCTGGGGGGAGCGGGTGGGGCCTGGAGCTCCTTTTGCAGGGATGAAATAAACACGGTCATCCACCTTCTTTGTTCTGGGGCTTCTTGTACCACAGAGATTCCATAATTATTAATAGTTAGACTGGAGGTTATTTTTAGGGCCTGGCTCAACTGTTAGATAACAAGTTTTGCCTTCTAAGAATATCTAACCCATCTTTGATTCCTTGGCCCCAGGCCCTGGAGGGGCCCAGTCCAGAGACACGGAGTGAACAACTTTGGTTTTTCAGGGGGAGTGTCAGGAAAGGCTTTCTTTACAGGGAGACTGATGTTGGAGTTGGAAGGCTGAGGGAGACTTTGCCAGATGGATGTGCTTGGGAAGGCATTGCAAGTAGAGGCTCACAAAAGTGCACGGGGAACATTCAGTCAGGGTAGCCATAGCAAAGGACGGTTAATCCAGCCTGGCTTGGCAGAAAGCACTGAGTGGGGGCTGTACAGGCCCCTGCTCCTAGGCCAAGGAGCATGACCCACATCCTGTGGGGCCTGGGAGCTACGGATGGTTTTCATGTAGGAGAGTGCCACAGCCAGACTTGAGTCCAAAGAAGATCCCTCCATTGTCCTGTGGAGGATTAGGCAAGGGGAGTGTACAACAAGACAAGGCAGGAGACTGTCTACACCAGGAGTGAGGTGATAAGGCCACAAGTAGTTTTAACTTATTAAAGGTAAAAGTGGACTTGGTGTGGTAGCTCATGCCTATAATCCTAGCACTTTGGGAGGCCAAGGTGGCAGTATCACTTGAGCGCCCAGGAGTTTGAGACCAGCCCGGGCAACATAGCAAGACCTGTTTATACAAAAAATTTGGCACGTGCCTGTAGTATCAGCTACTTGGGAGACTGAGGTAGGAGGATTGCTTGAGCCCAGGATGTCAAGGCTACATGGAGCCACGTTCCTGCCACTGCACTCCAGCCTGGGTAACAAAGCAAGATCCTGTCTCCAAAACAAAAATTAAAGAAATAAAGATAACAGTGAGGGAAAAGTGGTAGCCAAGGCTGCTCCCCAGATTTCAGGGCTAGGCAATTGGATAGATGGTGACAGGAACTAGCTGAGGGTGAGGAGGTTGTGGGCAGGGATGCTGAGAGATGCAGAGATGATAAGGTCATTGGGCCATGATGAATAAGAAGTGCCTGCAGGGGCTCCAGCCAATGATGTCCAGTAGGCTACGGAGTAGACAAATCTGGAGTTGAGCAAAGATCTGACCTGGGGCTGGAGAGCTGGGAGTTTCCAGCTCATAGGAAGTAACTGAAGGGAATGGTTGAGGTTGCCTGGAGAATACCTTTGGAAGCCAGTGTGCATAAACCGTGTGTTCTCTGCTTTTCTCTGCAAGCTTCCAGGGCCACTTGTCCAGCCAGGCCCTTGGCTGGGTGGGTAAGTCCACGTGATTCAGGGATGCCGAGGGAGGCTTCCTTTTGGGGTACACATCTATAGCCATCTGCTTCATCAGCTGTCATTTATCTCCATTTTCTCTATTTTTTGTCTCAAAAAGAAAAAAAGAGGGGGTATTATTGATCCCCTAAAACCCTAGCTGAATATATGAAATGAAAAGAAGTAAAAATATGAAGGAAGCAAAGGAAAATAATACTGAAAGGTCCTAAGGATGAAGAGGAGCTGCAGAGAGGTATTGAGAAGGAAATGTTTGGATAAATGGAAGAATCAGGAAAAACTATAGTCATGGAAACCAACCCACACTGAGCTAACTTTCCAGTGCACTGCAGATCCTAAAATAAGCCCATCAGATTTGGCGATGTGGAACGCATGACTGCCTTGATGGGAGTAGGTTGGGGCAGTGAGAAAGGCTGTAGTTGGATTATAATGGATTGAGGAGAGAGTGGAAGATAAGGAGGTGTAGTTGGTGCGGTACACAACTCTCTGAAATTGGCCATGATGTGATGGATGTGGGAGGGGTGCGTAGACAATTACAGCTATAAGATAATGGAGAAGGTTTCCTATAGGTGAAAGCGACATGTGCATGTTAGGTAAAGGCTCAGCAGAGGGTGCCTATGTGACCAGTCCCCAATAAAATCTTTGGATTCTGCATCTAATGAATTGCCCTGGTCGACAGCATTTCACACGTGTTGTGACAACTCACTGCCGAGGAGAACTGAGTGCATCCTGCGTGACCCACTGGGAAAGGACTCTGGAAGCTTGTTCCTGGGTTTCCCCAGAAATTTGCCTTAATACTTTTTTCCCTTTGCTGATTTTGCTTCGTATCCTTTCACTATAATACACCATGGCCTTGAGTATGACAGTGTGCTGTGTCCTGTGAGTTCTCCTTGTGAACCACCAAACCCAGGGATGGGCTTGGGGACCCCTGACACAGATGGGCAGGATTGGAACTTCGTGCCATAACAAGGACTTTAGATATTCTTTCAAGGGCAAAGAGGAGCCAGGAAGTTTTGAAACAGGTAATGATCCAGTGAGAGTTTTGCTTTGCAGTGGGATCTTCAGTGGCACTGAGAAGAGTGGACTGAAGTGGGCAGAGTGGAGACAGGGAGAATAGGAAGTGGCTACAGAATCCTCCACATAAGAAATTATGGGGCTGGACTAGGGTCCTAGCTGTGGAGATGGAGATAGAGAAAACTGTAAAATAAGTAGAATGGATCCCAAATTGGATGACATATAAGACTTGGGAGGGCAGTGAGGGAAAGGGAAGTGACAATTTAAAAAAACACATTTATGGTCTAGTGACTGAGTGGAGTATGTGACCCCTCCTGGCTTAGGGGAGGCCAAAGTATCTCTAACCTGCCACTATGCTGCCTGCAGCAGACTGAGCAAATGCCTGGTCCATGGAGATCCCAAGCTAACAAGGGCACCTGAGGCAAGCCTCTGGCCTTCAGGTGGAGGCCCTGCCTAGGCTGGCCTGGCTGCATTGCCTTGGCACACTGTGCTGTGTTTCCGAGGTGGACAGCAGCACTCTGCAAGTATCCTTCTCCTCTTCCTCTTAGTGGTCTAAATCCTTAGCATGCCGGAGTGCGACTGTGGACAAATCCCCTTTCCAGACCTGCTGAGTTCTCTGTTTGCAGTCTTTGGGTCTGGTTGCTGGCATGGCATCCCAGTAGGCTAGGTTCGTCAGGAAGTGTCAACTATGTTATGCCACCTGATGGGCAGCATTCGGAGTCTATGGACCAGGGGCTTAAGGGCTGCTTACTGCTAATAATTCTAAGTAGCAAGCATTCCCTCAGCCCTAGTCTGAGCACACACTAGGAAGGAAGACACTAGATGTGCTTTCCTAGTGGATAACTAGCCTGGAGTTCCAAGAAGGGCAGAGGCAGGCAGAGCCTTCAGAGATGTAGGCAATGATAGTAGCAGAACTTCAAGGAAGAGTAGACGGAAAAATAGAAAAAAAATCCTTGTCATTATTTTTAAATGTCTGAATTGACCAGGTTCAAATCTTGGAGAGTCTAGACGCTAGGGAGTTCTCATGGGTAGGCCAGCTATTATTTCGTATGGGGGGACAGTAGGTGTCACCCAGCACAAGAGGACCAGAGGTCAGTCAGTGCTAAGGATAAAACCTTAGGCCATGGGAGATTGAGTTTTTCATCAATTTGGCAAGCTTTCACTTTAATACTCCATTGGTTCCATCATTTCAGATGACTGGGGATGATAAGGACAATAGAATTTGGGGGATAAAGGAAGAGCTCATTATATCTCTTGAATGATTTTACTGGGGAAATGGATTCCTTAGTCATTTGAAAGAAGTGGTAGAATTCCCCACGTGGGGAAATACTTGTTCTAACAAAAGCTTAGTGACATTAGTGGCAATGTTCCTTTTATGGAAGGGAAAGCTTCAAGCCAGCGAGAAAAACATAAATATCCTAGTAAGAACATATTTATAACCATGAGATTTGGGTGCAGAATAAAATGAAATTGGAAGTTAAAGAAAGGTCCTAAACGTCTGTATATTAACAATATTCCATTGGTGAGCAATGTGAATTTCCAATGGAAAACCACTGGCCTAGAGTATGCTGGATACAAATCAAAGAAGCAAAATTGCAATGAAGTTAACGTTTTAAAAAATAATTGACATAATGACTGATAACCTTGTATTGTTCTTGTCTAATATAAGGTAAAGCGGCACTGGGGCTGTGATAAAGAGCAATATCTCATGTACACTGAGGACACAGAAAACCCACTAGG